GCAACAGAGGCGACTACATCCTGATGGAGGAGTATACATTCTCTAGCGCCAAGGAGACCGTTCTTCCATTGGGAGTCAAGGTGGCATCAGTCAAGATGGATGCAGAAGGTCTTCTGCCCGAGTCGCTCGACGAGGTCTTGAGCAACTGGGATGAAGCTTCTCGGGGCAGCCGCAAGCCATTCGTGCTGTACACGATTCCAACTGGACAGAACCCTACCGGTGCCACGCAGCAGGTGGAAAGACGCAAGGCTGTATACAAGGTGGCACAGAAGCACGACTTGATTATCGTGGAAGATGAGCCTTACTACTTCCTGCAGATGCAGCCATACACCGGACCCGACCGCGAACCTGTCCCTCCTCCTGCCAGTCACGATGAATTCATCAAGTCTCTCATTCCGTCGTATCTGAGCTTAGATATCGATGGGCGTGTGCTCCGACTTGAATCCTTCTCCAAGGTTCTTTCTCCTGGCTCGCGGACCGGTTGGATCGTTGGCCCGGAGCAGCTTGTCGAACGATTCATGCGCAACTGCGAAACATCTGCCCAACATCCAAGCGGCATCTCACAAATTGTTCTGTTTAAGCTTCTCGACGAGCACTGGGGCCACTCTGGCTACCTGGACTGGTTGATCAACCTGCGTATGCAGTACACCGGTCGCAGAGACTCCATTGTCAATGCTTGCGAGAAATATCTCCCCAAGGAAATCGCTAAGTGGAACCCTCCCGCCGCAGGAATGTTTGTGAGTATTCCTTCACCTGCGAATTGACGATCATGGGCCCAAGACGTATTGGCTGACACTGATAAACTCTTAGCATTGGATTGAGATCGATTGGCAGAAGCATCCTGCCGTGGCTTCCGGTAAGACCCGCGAGGCTATCGAAGAGGCTGTCTTCCATGCTGCGGTGGATAACGGTGTGCTCGTGTCGCGAGGCAGCTGGTTCACCGCAGCTGGTTGCAACGAGGGCAGCTTGTTCTTCCGCGCTACCTTTGCGGCTGCCAGCTCGGAAAGCATTGCAGAGGCTATTTCTCGGTTTGCAACTGCCCTCAGAACTGAGTTCTCCTTGTAGATAGATCGGACAATGATGATACTACGTGATTTACATGAATAGAACATGGAGAGTGATATATTTGCCCTGGGTTTACTCGTTAGTGTGGGAAATCTTCATCTGTTCTTAATAAAATGCCCTCGATTTCCTGGATAGCTGAATAGGCCAGCATGAAGCTGAGCAGGAGTCACGACTGATGGGAAGGAGCTGTGTGTGAGCCCCCCTTGATTATTACGAAAGCAATCAGACGATCCCGCTGTTGCGATCGAGAAACTAAGATTAACATGATTGTATCCTCACCAAGTAGTAGATCATCAGTATATGGTTAATTTGAACCATGAGTGTTGTTCAAGGTAAGGAAGGTAGACTATTGACGAGTGTAGTCTCCTGCCGTAGTACTTAAAAGCACAAATTGGAGTGTCCTGTTCTGGTGCTAAATTAGTGTCCGCTTTCTAGCGTGGTTTCACTTCACACCCGCAGTCTCACTCACAAGGAGAAAGATCACCATTTGAACCTCTGGTATAGCTCTTTTCACACTTCTAGGAGGTTTTGGGAAAGAAGGTACCGGGATCGACTTGTAATTATTTCTAATCCTGAATTATCGCTGGATTTGATTTCATGGACACGTTGATTTGAGGCTGGGGTGACTTTGAACGACTTTCCTTGATGGCGAAACAGGCACTGGCGAGGTGAACAACACAACACTTTGCAGTTGATAGCAGCCACTGGCTCGCGTGTCGCGTCTGAAATCGGGACATCTCAGACCTACTTGTGTTTGAGCATCAGCCTTCGCTGTTTATGCCTCCGACATAAGCAGTGAGATTCTCTTAGGCGAGCTTATCGGCCGACGCCTCGAGGACCTTTGGAGTCAGTTCTGTCCAGTCAAATAAATCTCACTTTTGCAACTGTGAACCTTACTCTGTACTTCAATATGGACACCACTCGCGCCTCGGGGCTTCTGGACCCGACGTCTGCGATGGCGGCTGCCATCAGCAAGCACAAAGCAGAAGCCATCAAGCTAGCACGTGAACAAGGCGCCGCGGTGCGCGAGATGTGTCGCAGGGCAAAAACCGAGGCGCCGCCGTATGAGTTCGAAGAGTTGATCGGGAAGGGCTCCTACGGCCGTGTCTACAAGGGCCACCAGCTGCCTTCGTGCAAAGTCGTCGCGATCAAGGTTATGGATATTGATTCGATGGACTACAAGTCTGTCAGAGACCTCAAGGACGAATCAATCAAGGATTTCATACATGAGACGAAAGTTATGAAACAGGTCAAGGATGCTGGTGCGAAAAACATCAACGAGTTGATTGAGGCCATCTCGATTCATAGCCAGTTGTGGCTGGTCTGCGAGTATTGCCCTGGTGGGAGCGTTAGGACTTTGGTAGGCCCTACGTCACTCCTGCTTCCCTTCACTTGTCATTTTCTGACTTCTCCATGTTTAGATGAGAGCCACTGGTGATAAGCTTGATGAAAAGTTCATCATTCCCATCGCGCGTGAGTTGGCCGCTGGCTTGCGTGCGATCCACGAAGCTGGTATCATCCATCGAGACATTAAAGGTATGTGGGCTTTGACAGTCTGGTTTTAATTCACTGCTGAGGCTTTTGATAGCTGCGAACATCTTGATCCACGAGGAAGGACGGCTTCAGATCTGCGATTTTGGTGTTGCGGGAGTGCTCCAGTCGCACATGGACAAGCGATCAACCTGGATTGGGACGCCTCACTGGATGCCCCCTGAAATGTTCTCAACTCGTGGCGAAGCTCATCAATATGGAAGCGAGGTGAGGCTGTCGGTTTTTTCTGCTCCATCTGCTGAAATACTGACAAGTCAAGATCGATGTGTGGGCATATGGTTGCACGATCTTCGAATTCGCAACAGGAAACCCTCCGAACTCCAACTTACGGGAGCGAATGCAGATTGGAAGGCAACTCAATCGCACCACACCGCGTCTCGCAAATGAAGAATACAGTGACGGCCTTAAAGACCTTGTATCATTCGCCCTGGAGTCGGATCCCATATCGCGCCCTACAATGGCAGACATAATGTCGCATTCGTATATTGCTGGAACAGACGAGCAGTACCCGACTTCGTCGCTCAGAGAGCTGGTCCGCATCTACTATCAATGGTCTCAGCGGGGAGGGCAGCGAATCTCGTTATTCCATCCGGGAGGTGCTGCCGCTGCGGAATTCCCCGACTATGAGCCAGACTTTGAAGAAGACTGGAATTTCAGTACAACAGATGGCTTCGAACGGAGATTCTCCGTCATTGATCTGGATCGGATAGCCGCTTCATTGGCCGAGTTGGAAGAGCAGATGAGTCCAACGACGACGACTCATCAGGATCGCGACCCCTTCGATGAGCCAGCCGAATCCGAAATGTCCGTGGAAGACAAGGCCAACTTCGACGAGCGTGTCCGCCGAGGCGCTGCGGCAATGGAGGGGCTATTCAACGAAGAAATGCCAAGTTACAAGTACGAAACAAAGAACGATTTTGTGCCCATTGAGCCCAAGCCTCCAGTGTCTGATCTGCCTCTTCGCACGGAGACAGACCGGTCTTCCGTGACGTCCACCTTCATTGACATTGACATCGGCTCATTCGACTCGTCGCATTATGCAGCTGGAGCTGCATCGGCACAGCCGTTCCAACTTGCAGACGCGGATACGATCAAAGCCAATAGATCCACCGGTCGCCAGCAACGCAGTTCCATTGAAGGCAGGTCACGATCATCGACTTGTGAGCCGGATAATAATGACGGATCTGAGCAACTAACTTATCAGCCCCAGAGTGGCCCACGCCCTCCGACGATGGACTGGAAATTTCCGGTGTTTATGCAACCTCCAGAAGAAGAGCAGACCGAACCGGAGAGCGCACAGTCACCGAAGGCGTCGGAGCCGCAACAGGAGGATAAACGGGCGACCATGGACTGGACCTTTCCGGACGAGTCTCAACAGAAGGACAAACGGGCAACCATGGACTGGACCTTCCCGGACATGACTGCCGCTGTAGATGGCGGGCAAGGGAAGCCTCTGGATAGCGAAGATCCCGGCCGCCACGAAACCCTTCGAGCTCCGCTCCCTGCCCTTCAACCATCAGCTACCATTCGAAAGTCCAGCATTGGTGAGCCTGGGGATTCGCGGCCTTCCACATCGGCATCGACTGGCTCCGATATCTCAGCACACTCAGATACTGACTATAATCCCTTCAAATTTGACCGTCCTCCTACGCCACCCGGTGAGCTTGCCGAAGCACATCGGCAATTTTTCAACAAGGAGCTACCGGAAACGCTAGAATCGGCGGGCTATGGCGAGTTTGAACGGTCATCGGTGTTAGACGGGCCGGGGCCAGATGAGGAAGACTCACAGTCAGTGATCTGGGAGAACAACACAGAGATCATTGTTCAACCCTCGCATACAGAACCATTCCCCACCGCCATTCCGTCTAAAGAGCTGGAGCCCAACCAACCCTTTCCAACGCTGAATGACTCGCCTATAATCGAGCCTTTGCCCACAGCCCGACGTGATCCGCGCCCGGCCATGAATGATGATATGGAGCCGGTCTACTTTCCCGATCTCGTACCGCCGCGACTTGAGGCTCTGACGGCCGGGGCGGAAGAAAGCGCTGTGACTGCCGAACTAGACAGACTTTTGGGCGATTTTCTGGATGCCCTCTCTGCGACTGGAGATGCGTTGTCCCGAGCCACCATCATTCCAGAGACAGCAAGACGTCGAACATCAATATCCGAACAGGCTGAATGAACTTTTGCTTTCTTTTTAGGCGTCGACCCGAAGTTCTTGCGACAGGCGCTTGGATGGATACTTGGATGAACAGACAGTTTGCCCCTTGAACACAATGACAGTCGCGCCTGTATCAATCAATGAAGCTCATGATGGATACTGTACATAAACCCCAAATAGAGACGATTGTTAATCATAGCCGTCTCTCAACTGCAAGTGTAAATCAACAGCCAGACGACAAGACTTCAAACTCCCCCTGTAGACCCAAGTGATCCGTGACCCAGACATCTTCATATTCGTCTTCAGATTCGTCGTCATGTTCGCTGTCAGAGTGATCTCCCCGCAAATCAACCCTCACCGTAACCCCATCCCCAATCCTTTTCAGACTCTTCGCCTCAACCCCACCACAATACAAGATCTTATCCATACGACTACACCCAAACTTCTCCCTCATCCAAGCCGGCACCTGCTGACCCCACGTGAAACTCTCCTCCGTTCCCTCTCTCCCGCCCAGAGCCAAGAACGCATCTCTAAGACCACACTCCTCCGGCGCGGAGCGATCCTCCGGCGCAAAGGCGTTGAGGTCGCCTGCCAGAATAGCTGCATGGGGAGTCGGCGGCGTATACTCACCCTCATCCTCAGGGGCAGGCGCAGGCGCAGGGCCAGACCCATGCATGAAGCTGGAGGCGAGACGTAACTGTTCCGGACGTCTGGGCGGACTGGAAACAAGACTCTCAAGATGTGTATTGCACAGCCGTAAGATACAACCTTTCGTGTCCGCTGTAGCTTCAACCACTACCAAAAAAAATGAGGATACGCAACTCACCACCCTCGGCCCCAGGGGGACCAGAACCAGAACCCACATCAACATCAACAAATAACGCATCCCTCTGCATCCTTGAACTCGAATACGGCACCCGGAATACACCCTGCACAACCAACTGTTTATCGATCATCGTCGTCGTCCCATAATACCCGCGCCAACGATCGCAGCTGATATCGGTGATGAAGAACTTCTCCTGGACCCAGCCCGATTCCTGGATAAGCTGGAGATCCGACTCGACCATCTCCTGGAGGAAGATGATTGATGGGGTCTCGTCGTCGTGCTGGGACGCGGGATTCTGGGTGCTGTGCTGGTGGGATAGGTACTCCAGTGCTGCGGCCATGCGTTCGCAGCCCAAGGGGGTTTGGAAGTCGATGTTCCAGGTTGTTAGTCGGATTCTGGTTACATTTTTCCTGAGGATTTGATAAACATTAGAAGTGCTGAGATTTCTGGTGATGTCTGGTGAGCTCCGGATTGGGGTCCAGATTTTGTTGAAGTAGTGGTAGAAGGGCTGTGGGTTGGCGCGGTCGAGTCTCATGGTGGATCTTGCTGTGGGTAGTTTCTTCACGGGGTTCAGGGATGAGTTTTGAGGTCAGTTAGGCGACTATTCTGATTATGTTGGGTTCTGTTTCTGTTAAGGCTTGGATGGATAGATGAGATGGATGATGGCTGGCTGCGGGGAGTCCTCATGTTCATGCTATGGTTGCTCAACAGTCATAGTTTATGTACCGGGATTAGAATCCCTCGTTAACATCATGGGTTTATTATGCTCAGGGGTCCTGATCTCTTTGATCTAAGTTGTCGTGACATTTAATAATGGAGTATTGACCAAGTGAGTGTGGAGGATCTTTCAACATTGTCATTCTTGTTCTTGCTGCTAATATCACAACCAGTCGGAAGGGTGAAAAGTGCTACATCTGTGAATGTAGTGCTCAGAATCGCACTCATACTCAGCGCATCTGGTCATTGTTGACATGATGCCTTGACGCGTCTCGTCTCGAGTCTAACACGCTCGTTTCTCTCCTTCCAGGTCATCCATCTTTTACCTATCGGCCAGTTGGGTTCGCTCCCCATTCTCCAGAGAGATGCATGTTTTGTGTTTGGTCAGTCCTTGTCCAGGTCTTTCGTTCTAGCACTCAGGTGGAAATGGCTTTCTCAATCGTGAACAAGTTCATTCGTTTCGAAACTTCATCATCACCTCAGTCGCCAGAGCAGTGGAAGCAAACAATCCAAGATGTCAAGCTGCTGTATTTCCAGCGGCAGTACAAGCAATGCGCCGCGCGCTCGTTTGAGATCCTCGAGACTGTAAAAGAACCAGTGAGCTGAACCTGATTTTGTGATTCAGTTGCTGTCCAAATAGGTATGCGCTAATGTGCTCTTGGTCGGCAGATCCATCCGGTCTACAAGACATACCTTTATTTCTATAGCGCCATTTCCTACGAGGAAATGGGACGAGCAGCCCATAATTACTCCCGAAGAAAGCTTCCTCTGCTGAATTCCGCTCTGGACAGCTTCGTTACCTGCAGCGCAATTCTGCCTTCGACAATTCCAGTTCCTGAAATCAACTCGGAGAGCTCGAGTCCTGCTTCGCTGGTGGATTCATGGACGGCGTCAGACTTCTCGGAGAGTCCTTCGCCTGTCGGGGCCCTCGTGAGCAGCATCACAGACATCATTGACAAGTCCATGCACTGCCCAGACGATGATCCTTTCATCTCAGACAGTGAGGGCTGGATTGATCTGGCTCTCGACATTCCAGAGAACCTTCCACCCCGCATTCCAGAGGGCGACCAGCGACTCATGCCCTCGCCCCTTCGACTTCGAAAGTCGTCGGTTGACCTCCGTCAGGCTGGTCGACAGAATCAACCTGCGAAACTTCGTCGTCTCCCTCCTCTTCCTATCAAGATTCTGCCTGCGGACACCATGGAAAAGAACCACGCACCTTCAGGACCTAACAGAACTCCCCACGGTCAGGGTAGAGGAAATGTCCACGCAGATGAGCACAAACAAGCGCCCGTGACACCGTCACGCGCCGAGGCCGCTAGACGCTATAACAGCACCCTCCAGTCCTTGCGAACTCAGATCAACTCCAGCATCGCCGACATTCACGCACTCATGGACGAGGTCACGGAGTTGCAGTCGGCCCGTCGAGCGTCGAAGAGTTTCCGCCGGTCTGCTTCATTCTGGAGTTTCAGTCCCGTCAAGGATGGTCGTGATGGTCACGAGAAACTGGGTAGTTCGGGGAGAGTCATTGTCAAGGAGACCAAGGAGCAGCGGATTGCTCGACTGCGCGCCGAGGGATGGAAGACGGTCGGCTTGAGATCTCCGGTCCGGGGCTGGAAGGGGGCGGCATACTACCAGGCATACTGCAATTCTGTTTTGGACGAATTGTATCTTGAGGTGTGAATAAGGGTCTGATGGCTGTCTTGATCTCAGGGGTCTCTTGTGGCAGAGTATATCATTGCATCTAGCGGGGTTCTGAAGCGCATTTCTGCTCATGATACTTGATGATGAATTGTTAGAAGCACTACGATGAATTGTGAGCGTTGACAACGACTGTCTAGAAACACAAACTAAAAATAATATGAGGGATCACAGGGGGAAGAATTGACTCCATCGACTGTCTATCTATCTACCGACCGTCTCAGATTGCGACCCCGTCCCACTATTTTTGGGCGGTGCCTTGAAAGTGGATCCGGCTGCGAGAGGGCTGGAATTTTGGCACAAAAAAAGGTCGCACATGGTCGATAGCGCGTTTCATGCTGATCAAAGCTGAGGGTCCTAGTGTTCTCTGTAAGGCAGAAATTATCAAGATGTGATTGATCGAAATACGAGAGACTGTTGATACATTATCAAAGTGAACTCTGGGATGGGACTGACAAGGCTGAGATCAGTCATAGCCCTTCGAGTAGCCGATTACGAGGGTAGTCCAGAACTACAGTGGCATGATAGGGGCAAAAGAACCCTCAACCACTGAGATGTCGATACTCGGTAGAGTTACTAGATACTCTGTCATACACTTGAGGATAGGATTTGGATCAGCCCCGCCGCTGCCCAAGGCTCGACCAGCTGGAGCTCATGACTCTGTGGCTGTGCTGATGAGACTCGGGGGATTCAACAGACAGACGGTCTGGAGTCTGGACAGTAGTAGTCTACTCCGTACGACAAATTAAATAAACTATGGATAGTCCAAAGTCCAGACATCATTATTTCTTCAATTCATCTTTCTCTTAAAGAGACACCGTACACACCAGCATCTTTCCTCCCGTGCAGCTGCATCAATTCCCCGATCGGAGTGATCTTCAGAGGGTATGTTTATTTTTCCATCCCCTATCGACGTCGTGTGGTCCGTCCAATCTCATGGCTTCCTGCACATTCGCTGATTGAGATTCTTGTACTGACATGGCATTCGATCTCTCAATAGAATCATAACAGAGGGACCAGAAACAGATTTCATCCTCCTTGACACGCTCTCAATCTTTCCCAATACCATTTCCTTCGCCCCGCCCCCTTCTGTCCCCTCACGTGCGGGGTCTCCCATCAGCTTCGTTCTATCCGCTGGCCTGAGCCCTCCACCACACTTTCATTTTCGAGCTTGGGTCCTTGTCAGACAGACCCTGCTTCGTCACAATGAGTTGTGAGTCTCGCTTATCTTTGTTTTCGCTTCGTCAATGCCCTGTGTGATGTGGTTGGCTTCTCTTCACCCTAAGTCCTACCATTGATGCTTTTCACATGCGCTCGAATGCTGGAGCCTGCTGGTCTGGACTCGTTCCGTGCGATCATGTCCCTGTTAGCATTGCCGTTAAGCATCTTGAGTAGTAATGCAAGTCTCTTCGGACTACTCGTTCTGCTATTGTTCTTTGGTTCGAGCGTTCCCGGGAGTTTGAGTTCCCCATTGCTTTTCCTTTTGGTCTTTGTCCTGCGCCGTCTTTTATGGAGCTGTTGTCGCTTGTACGGAATGATGCTAACCATGGTGTGGTTGTCTTAGTCTCTACTATGTTTAACAAGCTGTCCGGGCAGCCCGAGAGTTACGAGAAAAAGTACGATGTTCCAAGCCCTCCCGCCTCCTTTTCTATCATCCCAGTACCATCGAAGACATTGTGCTCACCTCTTCTAGAGCACTGTACAAGTTTGGAAGGACACTAGGTGCTGGCACTTATGGTATCGTCCGTGAAGCAGAAAGCAGCTCGGGAAAAGTTGCCATCAAAATCATCCTGAAGAAAAACGTCCGCGGCAATGAGCGCATGGTCTACGACGAGCTGGAGATGTTGCAGGCGCTCGATCACCCCAACATTGTTCACTTTGTAGATTGGTTCGAATCCAAGGTAAGTGCATGAGATTAGCTTGCTGTTCGCCGGTCGCAGTCTGATCGTGAAATAGGACAAATTTTACATTGTCACTCAGCTGGCTACCGGTGGTGAGCTGTTCGATCGGATTTGCGACTACGGCAAATTCACAGAGAAGGATGCTTCTCAGACAATCCGGCAGGTGCTGGGTGCTGTGAACTACCTTCACGAGCGTAATATCGTCCACCGAGGTCAGTCTTTCAGCCAACTTTTCCCTGTTGGTGTACAGCGCACTGATGCTGGCTCGAGTATAGATCTGAAACCCGAAAACCTCCTATATCTCACCCGTGACCCCAAATCCCCCTTGGTGTTGGCCGACTTTGGCATCGCAAAAATGCTGGAGAACCCTACCGAGGTCCTCACGACCATGGCGGGCTCTTTTGGTTATGCGGCGCCCGAGGTCATGCTCAAGCAAGGCCACGGCAAGGCCGTCGACTTATGGTCCCTCGGTGTTATCACCTACACCCTGCTGTGCGGATACTCGCCCTTCCGATCGGAAAACCTGTCCGATCTTATCGAAGAATGCCGCGCTGCCCGGATCGTCTTCCACGAACGCTACTGGCGCGATGTCTCCAACGATGCCAAGGACTTCATTCTCAGCCTGCTCCAGCCTGATCCCGCCAAGCGGCCCACGTCGCAGGATGCCTTGAAACACCCCTGGCTGACTGGTGAGTCTGCCAGCGACCGCGACTTGCTGCCTGAGATCCGTGCCTACATCGCCCGCTCCCGTCTCCGGAGAGGAATCGAGATCATCAAGCTGGCGAACCGCATTGAAGCGCTCAAGATGCAGGAAGACGAAGAGGACGATATCCCGAGTCCTGCCGAGATGGCGGCATCTGCAGCAGAACCCAGCAAATCCTCTGACACAACAGCGTTCCCTCCTCTTGCGGGTACGGAAGCAAATGGTAGCTCATCCCCTGCGTCTGCCGATGGCACAACTGGTGGGACTAAGAGGCGGAGTCTGAGCAAGATCGCACGCGGCGCGATCTTCCGCGAAGTTGTGCTGGCCAAGGTTCGCGAAGTGAAGGAGAACGAAGAGCGTGAAAAAGTCGAAAGGGAAGCTCGAGAGCGAACTGCCCATGCTTGATTTTCTTACCGATAGTCGATCGGCTTCCTTTCGCGTTTTTTAGAGCCCATTCGTATCTTGTGTATCCAGATCATGTTCGAGTTGATCTTCGAATCTGATTTCTATGATTCCCTGTGCAAATTCAAATGCTTTTCTTATACTCGGAGTTTCGATTGCTGGCATTTGGTCGTGTGGTCTTTTGTCGGCATATTCGCCTTTTCGCCTTTTCGCCTGATTTCAGAGAGTCGCGCCACATGTGATCCTGGATTTGGATGACCGTTTATTTAACTGTTTCGTCATGAGCGTTAATCAAGTGAAACGCCAACCAGATCATGTAGATGCTAATGCTGAGAGGCTGATATCAAGGGATCACGTGCTGATGTGTCAGATGCTCTCGGGCCAATCAGATGACCGGCTGCAGGTGATCGGCTGCCTTGCCTTACCCACTACTCCGTAGTAGAGGTACCTGCTGTTTGGAGGTTTCCAGTTATATACAACGAGCAATATTCACCTTCCTTTCACTTGATCGGTCTCTTTACTCTGCAGCTTTATAAATTACTCTTCGCTTGATAGAAGTTTCCTCGTCTAGCTTACTCCACTGAGTGGTGCCCCACGATCGCTCGTCTACCATCAATAGCCCCGCGGTGTCAGGACGTCATACATCTGCCCCAACAACCTTTATGCGCGTTCGGTATTAGCACATGGGAAAAGACCAGTACCTGACACTACATCGGACATTTCAGCCGCAGCTCGTGTATCTTGAAGATCTCTCAGCCTGCGCTCAAGGGGCACATCTTCCAAGATGTTCGCCGGCAAGCGTCTGAGCAAAGTATGTCATTCCATCTTCCCGCGCAATGAAGAATCATATAAACTGACGCTGGATGTACATCTACAGGAGCTCCTGAAGGTACCTTCCCTGCCATCATATTATAACTTAGTCCCAAGATCAACACAAAACGGCAGCATCACCACAACCACATGATTCTAACATTCAATCTGTGTACAGATGAAGGAACATCTCCCACCCGGAATTTCAATAGTCAAAGACGACAATCTCGAAGAATGGCAAATGGACATCAAAGTCCTTGACGACAACCCGCTCTACAAGGACCAGACCTACCGACTCAAATTCACCTTTGGTTCGAAATATCCCATCGGTGAGCCCGCTCTTTTGCCGCACATCCCCCGCGCCTTCCCCTCTCCCCCTCTCTTGTATCGAAGTGACTAATGATACCACAGAACCACCAGAAGTCCAATTCGTCGAACTACCTAATACATCCGATACCCCACGGCCCATCCCCATGCACCCCCACATCTATAGCAACGGCATCATCTGCCTCGACCTCCTCAGCTCCGCCGGCTGGTCGCCTGTGCAGACGGTAGAAAGCGTCTGCATGAGTATCCAAAGCATGCTGACGGCAAATAATCGCAACGAACGGCCTCCTGGTGATAGTGAATTCGTCTCATATAACAAGCGCCGCCCCCGCGATATCGCTTTCATGTACGATGATGATAATGTGTAGTCCGTATCCTGGTTCGCTGCTGAGCTTCTTGGCGGATTGGTCGCGTTGGACTTTCAGCGGGGTCCATCGGGGGTGAAGTCTTCGGACCTCAAGCTGGCATTTTTCAAGGGTTAGTAGACATTCTCAGGTGTTGGATTCTTAGTTTATTCGTTCGCATTCGCATTGGCCTTGGCGTTGGCGTGGGTTTTGTCTTCTTTGACTAGGGCGCTCCATAGTGGAAGGATGGTGCTGCTGGAGTTCTATCCGCTCTCTTGGTTCCTTTATCTACAATATTGCTATACAACAGCCTACGGCATCGCAGTGATAATGCATGAGGCATTCATTGGTTCACCCGAGTCAAGATCGGTAGTCAGATAGAATTCAGCTATGAAATTCGGAGCAGTTTTCCTGAGTAGGCAGAACGGCCGTCATTGTTCGTTTGCCTTTGCGATCGAAAGGGTGATCGCAGTGGTCTACGTTAGAGTCCTGCAGTCCCATAATTCTACTCAGCACATGATGTTGCATTGAAAAATCACGTGTCACTATACACAGGGTGGATGATACCTAGCAGAAAACAAAAGAAAATAGATCGAGACATGAAACGAGAAGGAAACGAAACGCCATGGGAAGGAATTTGGTACAGCTGAATCGCCACGTCTCCATTTACACTGGCCCCCCTTGCACTAAACCGATAGCATGTTCGGTTTTCGGGTTGGATAAGTGGAGAATGAGAGGAAAGGCGCCAACAAGAACTCGCTCTTTTCTGATGATTCTCTGCCTTTACATGTTGCATTTGCACATATTCAGGTGTGTTATTAATTCACATGTCTCTACCGGTCGACTTCACCGAACACAAGATCCATTGTACCTAAAAGTTGACATGTTAGTGGACTGGAAGAACTCGGGTCAGATATTGCGAAGAAGTGAAACCCACCGATGATAGCGACAGCATCTGCCAGAAGGTGACCACGAGAGATCTGGTCGAATCCACCCAAATGAGCAAAGCCGGGAGCACGAATCTTGCAACGGTAGGGTCTCTCGCTGCCGTCACTGACAAGGAAGACACCCATTTCACCCTTGGGGGCCTCAATGGCGGAGTAGGTCTCACCAGGAGGGACAGAGTATCCCTTGGTGAAGAGAAGGAAGTGGTGGATCAGAGCCTCCATGTTCTCCTTCATGGCGGCACGGGGAGGAGGGGAGATCTTGTAGTCTTCGACACGGACGGGACCAGCGGGCATCTTGTTCAAGCACTGGTGAATGATGCGCAAGGACTGGCGGAACTCCTCCATACGGCAAAGGTAACGGTCGTAGCAGTCACCGTTGACACCAACGGGAACGTCGAACTCAACCTGGTCGTAGGCATCGTAGGGCTGTGACTTGCGGATATCCCAGGGGACACCAGAACCACGGAGCATGACACCGGTGAAACTCATGTTGAGGGCGTCAGCTGCGCTGACAACACCAACACCCTGAGTTCTGGCCTTCCAGATACGGTTATCTGTGAGCAGCTCCTCGGTCTCGTCAATGCGGTCGCCGAACTGGGTGGCCCACTGGTAGATATCATCAAGAAGGCCGAGAGGAAGGTCCTGCGATACACCACCAGGGCGGACATATGCAGCGTGTAGACGGGCACCGGAGACACGCTCGTAGAACTCCTATTGAAGGTGATGGGTCAATGCATTGCTCCTGGTCATACTGGTCGAAGGGAAAAGATGCCGCATACCATGAGCTTCTCACGCTCCTCGAAACCCCACAGGAAAGGTGTCAAAGCACCAACGTCCATGGCGTGGGAAAGAACCGACATGAGGTGGTTCAGAATTCGGGTCATCTCTCCGAACAGGGTTCGGATCCATTTGGCTCTCTCAGGAATTTCGATGTTGAGCAGCTTCTCAACAGCCAGCGAGAAGCACTGCTCATTCGTCATCATGGAGACATAGTCAAGTCGATCGAAGTAGGGCAGAGCCTGCATATAGGTCTTGTACTCGATCAACTTCTCGGTACCACGGTGGAGCAGACCGACATGGGGATCTGAGCGGACAATTTCTTCGCCATTGAGTTCCAGGATCAATCGAAGCACACCGTGAGCGGCAGGATGCTGAGGACCGAAGTTGACAGTGTAGTGGCGGATCTTGCGGTCGACCCCTTCCGCCTGCGACTCAAGATTCGATGCAACCTCGGACTCTGCGGTACCCTTGTTGACCAGATGTGAGAAGGTCGGATCGGTCGGAATGAGTCTGGTAGCCTGATAGCTGGTAGGCTCCGCGTACCGACGGGGAAGGGTCGTCGATATCGAACGGGATCTGGGAACCGCAGTGTTTCTGGCGAACGTAGAGGGGCGAAGACAGAGCTTCTTGGGCGCACTGCCCGCCAGACGGGTGAAGGAGGCAGCCATTCGGGATATCGCAAAGAAGGATGAGGATCAAAAAGGCCGACTGTCCTCAGTCCGGACGTAGTTAAAGGAGCGACTCTTACAGGACGGTCGATACGAACTGACGTTTGGAGGTTGCGGCTTGCAACACAAATTGGGCAATCACGTGACAAGAGCTTCTGGTCATCACGCCGCCTCTGGTTGGTCTTCCAGAGGTCTCTAAAACACACCCACACTAAGCCTGCATTTGTGAAGGCTTCCGCCTTTATTCCGCACCAGCAGCACTTTTGCCCGCAAGATCGTCTCTTCAATGGGTGCGGATTAAGTGGGAGGGGATGTCCGCCTTAGGCCTGCAGAAAATACTGCCGCTTGTCCCAAAGAAATTATCATCCGCTCATTTCTCAATTTCACCTCTCAGTCCTCAGCTGTCAATCTACCCTCGTATTGTCGGTCATCATGGCGCCTCTTATTCCGTCGCAGGAAGAGCTCGATCGCAGAAGGGTACATTATTTTCTAGCTTAAAGTTTGTGAATATCCTCGTCACTAACCAGCTCTTAGATCGTCGGTATCAATCCAGAGACGGTCACCAATATCCCCTCCACAGATTTCCCGGGTCACTGGCCCGGCGAGTCGCATGAATGGAATTTGGAAAAGTTCAGAAATGTGCGTCCTCCTTGAGCAGTTTTTGTGTACAGCTTTCATCGTGTGTCGCGATGGTCTGCAAAGTTTCTTCAGCTCACACCTGCGGTTCAAAGGGCTTCCGAGTTGAGTTTCATCGCAATGACCCATTCGAATCCTCCTTCTCCTTGATTGGACTTGATGCCTCCATCGCAAACGCTTTCCGTCGAATTTTGATGGCCGAAGTACCAACTCTCGCCATCGAGTACGTTTTCGTTCACAACAACACTTCCGTTATACAGGACGAAGTTCTCGCTTCACGATTGGGTCTGATTCCCTTGAAGGGCTCGGTAGAGGGTCTCAACTGGATGCGCTGGTTTAAGAAGCCCACCGAGGACGATCCTGAATCTGGCAGCAATCCCGCCGACTACAACACCATCGTGTTGCGCTTGGATGTTGAGTGTACCGAGAACCCCAACGCTGCTCCGGGCGAGGACGACCCTCGCAAACTTTACAAGAACGCACATGTTTATGCTAAGGACATCACCTTCCACCCGGTCGGACGTCAGGAACAGTTTTTCACCGGCGACGGTGCAATTCAGCCCGTCAATCCTGATATTCTGATCGCAAAGCTACGCCCAGGACAGAAGATTGATATGGAGTTGCACTGCATCAAGGGGATCGGAGCCGATCACGCCAAGTTCTCACCCGTGGCTACCGCAACATACCGCCTCATGCCAGACATCAAGATTCTCCGTCCTATCGTCGGCGAAGACGCCAAAAAATTCGCCAAATGCTTCCCCAAGGGAGTTATTGAGCTCGAGCCCGTTACCTCGAGGGAAGCCGCGCAGAAAGGAAGCGAATACGAGGGTCGTGCAGGCGAGATGAAAGCCGTGGTTCGTGATCCCTTCAAGGACACCGTGAGCAGAGAGTGCCTGCGACACGAGGAATTCCAGGGCAAGGTCAAGCTGGGCCGCCTTCGCGATCACTTCATCTTCAACGTTGAGAGCACTGGTCAGTTTGAAAGTGATTATCTTTTCCTCGAAAGCGTCAAGGTGCTCAAGTTGAAATGTGCGAGATGGAAGCGAGGCTTGACGGATCTCATGCGGTAATGACATTCGTACGGCCTGTCCCGACAATTTTTGGAGTATATAATGCATTAGCCGGCGTTGGGTTTCGTTATCTCTGTGCTTGTTGTACATCTACGAAAAAGTTGGTCAAAACCTCCTTTACGACGTTAGGAGTCTACGTGGGGATCTTCGTCAAAATATGGAAAATGCAGCTTTGATTTCCTCAAGTGTCGCTGTGTCTTTCTTACAATGTACCCAATCGCATATTCGTCGTAACGCAATCGTGTCTCATTCCAGGCTTGCAAGCTTAATCCACGCAGCTTCACTTGAAGATCAGTTGGAAGCGGAAGTCAATAGTATATGCGGGGTCGCTGACCGCAATCTCCTGGCCGTTTTCAACCAGTTCCTTCAGCTTAAGCTTCAGATTGCTCCTGGTCTGCTCCTCCAGCTGGGGCGGGAAGCGCTGATAGAGTGTCTTCTCTTCCGTTCTCATACTCGGCTTCTTGAGCTGGGCCTCGGCTCGCTCACCGAGACTCTCTATGAATTCCTCCAGCGTCATATTCGGGTCCACAGTAATCTTTCGCGCTAAACTACCGCAAACTGGGCAATCTGGTTTCTTTTCCGCCTCAAAGGTGTATGTGTAGACCCCCTCTTCACCAGCGTACATCATATAGTTCTCCAGGTAAGGGTTGCAGGAGGTAGCGATTTTCAGTGCTTCGGACGTGGTCGAGGCTGCGATGACAGCGTTTGTCGAAGCAATAGCGGGAATGATATTCTTCACCACGCCTTGGGTCATTTGGAAGGTTACGCCGTGGATGTGAAACTGCTTTGCCCTCTCAAGTGCGGCGTTGTAGACCCAGCTGATATGTTCCATATCATCGCTGTCAAAGGCGTCATCCTTGCGCTTCTCTTGCCAGGCGATTTGATGAGCCCACTCGATGCAATGCTGAGGCTGTCTTGGGATAGTTGCAATGGTGCAAAGGGGAACAGCAGGTCGAGGAGCGTGCATATCTAGCTGACACTCAATGCATGAAGACAGCGTTGGAAGAATCACCCGGGCTTGGCCCTTGAAACCTACTAATGATTAGCATAACTTTGTGATTAATGATATCGATGGCGTCGGATGGCTTTACCTTCTGTCCCGCCGTCAATGAGAGGCTTCAGACTTTCAGGATTCTCCGGATCAACCATCCCGATAAGAGCGGAGTTGATCCACCGTCTGGCCTCGATACTGTCAAGACCACAGACGATGATCTTGAATTGCATATAGTAATCCTCGTCCTTGTCCTGAATCTTGCCGACATATGGCGTGATCTTGACACCCTTGACTCGCTTTTCTACGAATGCTGCGGCGACCTCTGCCTTGGGCTTGCCGATGTCAGCCTGCCGGAACAGGAACTGCCGGTTCAAGTTGGAGATGTCAATCGTATCTGTTTGAGTTAGATCAACGGTTTATGGGAAGGTGTATGGTGATAGGAAATACTTGCCCATGTCTATAACGTGGATATCCTTGAATCCCGACAAGGCCAGGTTTTTGAGAATTTCGCATCCTAAACCACCCGCGCCACTGTATCAAATTTATCAGTGACTTGATCATGATCGTAGACAACAATCTCTGACTGACATTACTCTGGACTTGAAGTTAGCAAGCTAATCTAAACCATCACCTTGGCAACCACGTACAGGATCTTCGACGATTCCAAAGCACCTATCGTCTCTGGACCAGGAACCCAGTCTTCATCGCTGTAAGGGCCTGACTTCGTCAAGACTGAGTAAAGGTGCTTCCTGCTTCGTGTTAACCATGCTTGACATGAAATCTCAAGGTTGATGCATACCACCGAGAAGCGGGATCTAAAGATGCCATATTCAGAGCTAGATGTCTGGGCTCGGCAGAGAACAGTCACTAGATGCTAGTGGTGACCTTTACCGTAATTGTCTTCCAACTGCTTCAAGCTCCTTTTCTGTGGTCGATATCAAGTTGTTTGAGCTTACAACCCGGCACAGAGATGCGTCTCTTGTCCCAATTATCAAAATTGAAAAATGAGAATATGGCCAGTTGTATTGTGATGAACAAAGGTAACAAGCCAGCTGCGCTGTTGACTGCTCAGTAACTGGTGTCAGGACACGCCGCTGCACGTGACCTGTTCGCTCCATACAATTTCCTCCCACTTTGAGGCATAACCATCAAGCGATCTTTCCAGTTTTTCCGAGACAGTCAATCCTCGAAAATGGAGGGTCTCACAGCTGTGAAGATAACGACTCGCGAATCCAGACCCATTTTATCGCCTGTCGCGGAAGAAAATCTCCTTAATGGTCTGCAGACCCGCCAAACTGGGCGGGAGGCCGAGCTGGACAATAATTCAACATCGTCAGATTATATACTGGCGGTATTGAAGTCAAACCCTGACCAGGGAAATGTCGCTCAAGTACTCGCCATTCTTGATCCCTCGAACAAAAAGGTTCTTCCTCCAGATTTCGATATCAGGGTCCCGAGCGCAAAGACCACGCAGATTCTCAATGTCTTGGTGAACGTTACAATCCCTGATCATTGGGAATACCTGAAGGAGACAAAGAGCGAAGCTAGTAAACTACGAGGCATGTTCCTGAGATGTTTCAGCAGTGTTGCTGGACTAAGTTGCTTGGTTACTCAGCTTCGTTCTCTGATAAACGCTGCACGAGCAGCACCTCAAAATGCGGAAGGATCGAGTAATCCTATCCGACTTGCGGAGATTCTGTCGGTCATCTCTGCCTTGCTGAAGCCAACAGACTTTGTGTTGCGCCTTTACGATGACATCGATGCTCTTTACACTAATGAAACCCAGAAGCAGCTAGCTTGGAAAGAGATTATTGCTCTTCTTGCTGCCAGTAAAGTTCTACCTGCAGCTGCAGAAGCACTGAGCTTGATAAAAGACCTGGAAGGCCTCGCAAAGCTCTCCTGGCTTGGTGAAGGAACTCAATATGCATCCTGGTTGGGGGCAAATATATGTCATGTTGTCTCGAGGATTAGTCCTAACAACGAGGCGTGTCTGAAAGCAGTTGCTCTTCTAACGGCGCGGTCGTTGAGTATCGGCTACACAGGTTAAGTTCTACGGTACTTTTTGGCAGCGTGTTTATGCTAACTCACTTTCAAGAGCACCTTGTAAGAGAAATCTATTCGGGCCTTCTACTAGACCGAGCTCTTCCGACACATTTTGACTCTTTCTATGACAAACTTCGGCCAACCGAGCAACTCGCATTTCTCGAGTCAGTCTTCCGCGACCTGCAGAAGAAGTATTTCCCGGTTGGCCTCTCCTACCTGGACTTTGCCAATACGTCCGACCAAAATGTCGAAGGTGTTGCGGCCTTGTGCTCAATGATCATTTCCAAGCGTCCACACCTGGAAAGTCAGCTATCAGACTGGCTTGCAAAAGGTCAAACTGGCTCGATACATACTGTCGGTCTTCGTCGAGCGTTGCTGGCAGTTTTGTCGGATAGAGAGGGTAACGTCTTCCGTTGTGCCCGACCTCTGAGATTCAACTAATAAATGCTCTTCAGAAATAATTGAAGCTCTGCTCTCCAAGAGCCTTGAACAATCTGGCGATAAATTTTACATCAGACATGCCCCGATGAGCAGTCAAGAAGGTAGTATAGAGATCTATTGTCTGACTGTCAAACCTTGCTCTAATATTTCTCAGCAAATGCTCAAGTTGTTCTCTTGGCTGCTGGGTGTCTTCAACGGCTCGATGCCATTGCAGTCAAGGACGCAGGACGTTCGAGTAGTTTCCTGAACACCGTCTCGAATCGTTTAGCAGCCTCATCCTCGAAAGCCCGCCTTCTCGGTATGATCATTGGCACTGCAATCTCGCAACTCATTGAGGAGCCAGGAAAAGCTATGAAATTTGACCTCGAAGAAATGGAAAGCGACGAAGCAGTCTGGTATCTGGACTTGGTCAAAAAGGCAGATCGCATTGGATCTTTAGATTATATCAAAATACCGAAAGAGCAATCATCTAAGGAGCCTCGTCCACCAGCTCAAGGGCCATCTTCTTCAAGAACTGCGGGTGCGCGAGCCTCCAACGCACAATCGGTCAAGATTGTGTCAATAGAAGAGATTGGGGACTCGGAGAATGATGAGAGCGAAGAGGATGATGATCTGATACCATACGAGAAACCTGACGAGGATCCATCGGATTCAGACGATGATCCAACTCTTGTACAACGCAACAAACCGACACCGCCAGTGTAAGTTGACAGAACTACATTGTATTAGATACGGAAAACTGACTCGAATAGATACATTCGCGATCTGATAGCCGGCTTACGGGATACGGAGAATCTCGAACGATACGATTTGGCCGTCACCACTGCCCCTTCTCTGATTCGACGCAAGACCGGCTTCGGAACCGAGCTGGCCGAGAATGTAGAGGAGTTGGCTCTTGTTCTAGTCGGACTGCAGGAGCAGAATAAACTCCCTAAATTCCATGAATGTCGGTTACAGAGCATGATCGCGTTGATCGTATCGCAACCGCTGAAAATGGGTCGCTGGTTTGCGGCGGTATTCTTCGATGGAGACCTATCCCAAACCCAGCGGTCCGCAGTCCTCACAGCGTTGGGTCTAAGTTCTCGCCAATTAGCAGGAAACGGTGAGGAAGATGCCCGGACGCTCGGATTGCCAACCTTACCCGACACTTCCTTTCCAACCAAAAGGTTGCCGGCAAACTTGGAGGAATTGTATCTAACTAATGAATCCCCAATCGCGAATCTCACAAAGACCCTCTCAAAAGCGTCCCTTGAACCACTCGCGGCTCAAGCTGCAGACGCCGTGTCTGGTCCAAATGCACTCAAGGTGCGAACATTTTCATCACGAATGGAGGTCGAGAAGAAGCGTCAGCAGCGAGATGCGCAGCGGCAAAACTCGACGGTCAAGGATCTTCACAAAGTCTTGTCAGAGGGCTTCTTCTATCCCCTGACAGGTCGCTTTGGATTGATGATGACGCAATTTTTCTCGTAAGAGCTCAAGCCTTTTCCTTCAATCTGACGGACACCTGAATTGACAAATTCTGTATCACAGTTCAACCGCGCCCTCGTACAACCCTTTCCTGATTCCTCATCTCCTCTGTCTCTTTATCCAGACACTGACGCTCATTCTTTCCACCATGGGCCCCCACAACCCGTACCTTCCTAATCTCACTCAGGAGACGTTGACTTTCCTCCTTTCACTCTACACGCGACCGCTTTCGGATGACCCTTCCATCGTCTCCGCACTGCTCTCGCTGTTCCTCGCAGTAGTGGACTTGAACGTCGCCTCAGGCTCCTCGGGTGAGGAACGACTTGTCACGGAATTTGCGACTCAAGTGATCGAGTTGCGTGAGTGGGCTGGGTCCGTCTTTGATCGAACTTCGGCGGCACAGGGAGTGGATGACCCTCGGGAACAGGTCAGACTATTAGCTGCAGGAGTCATGGTGAAACTGGGTGAAGTGATGGAGAGATACCAAGGGCGGTTAATGGGTGTTAACTCTAGTTTCAAGTACTAGAACTAAATAGTACATATCTATATGTTTGAAAATGAATGAAAAGCTCACACACGTAGAAGGGTGGTTGGTGCGACAATTTGGCAAGACAATATATACATAGGCTATCAATAATCGTAACAGCATTTCGTGGTTTACGTTGACAGGATTGTTGTCAAAGTGTAGGAGTTACTGAAATACTATTACCCTGAAAGAGTGACTGTCATGACGTTATTTTAGTACAGTGGTATAAGTTCTCCGTCAATTGTTATTAAATTAGTCCGTGCACGGAACACGCTGGATTTGGCAGTCTGAAAACATGCCTCTTATCACTCGGTCTTTGCAAAACTTCCCTTCTCGATGGCTGCCTCCATCATTCGATCGCCGTTGATGATGCTCGTTGTGCAAATGACAATCCTCCGTCGCGGGGCCTCCTGAGCTGCGATGAATCGCAGTGCTGCAATCTCTGTGAAGGTCGCTCCACCTAGGAGGAATACGTACACGGTCTTGGCGGTATTGTTGCCGCTCAGCGTCTGTCGCGCACGAACTGCCTTATCGTCTCCCTTCTGAACAATGCTGAATGTCGCGCCACGGGCGCTCTTTACTATGTCCTCGAATCCAAGCCAGCCGGGGGATGCAGTGCTTGCAGGGGTGGAGGTAGCAGAGGCAGAACCGCCCCTGACGAGTGAGAATATATAAGGCTTTTGCAGAACGCATTGGACTAGACGGATACTGAGTGGAGCGAAGCCGCTGTACACGTAGGCAATGTCGTTCGGGTCCTTCTCACTGACTTCTTCTACCAGCAGGCGTAGGTTCTTCCGTAAGTAGTTATAATTCGTCTTAGTTCCTGGCTGAGCACCAGTAGTCGGAATAAGCAGGGTGGTGGCCGACGAGCGTGGCTGCAGGAGCTCCATTTTCTCCAAGGCACAAAAGGTCAGTAGGTGTTGATGTCCATAGGCGTGGGCAATTTGCCTCTTGAAGTTCTCGAGATCTCGGGGACGCAGTCCGCCTGACATGCACGACTCCAGGCACAGCAGACGGAGAACAGTCTTGAGAGGCACATCCCGGACAATTAATTCTTCGATGGCGTCGTGTTGATACGTTGGGTCAGTGCCCGCAGCATTATTTTGCTGGACTTCAAGAACTTTGCGGAAGATATCTGAACGCGTTTTTCTCATTATCTCTTCGGCCAGATTCGTGTGAACGCGAAGACTTTGGTGTTCCAATTGATAAGTCGGTAGTTTATTCACGAATTCGCGTAACTCCGAAGGCGTCCTCGCCGTATGACGACTCTCATAATCGCTTTCTAGCCGCCGGGCCACCTTATTCAGAATATCTCCGACTATGGCGAAGTTTGCATCACGCAATTGGCTAA